AATAAGTGAAACCATATAATTGACTTTCTCTGCTTGACTTATTTCACTTAGCATAATCTCCTCCAGCCCCATCCATGTTGATGCAAAAGTTGGGTATTCATCCTTTCTGATGGCTGAGTAATATTCCATTGTATATATATGGACCACATCTTCTTTATCCATTCATCTGCTGAAGGGCATCTCGGCTCTTTCCACAGTTTGGCTATTGCGGACATTGCTGCTATGAACATTGGGGTGCAGGTGCCCCTTCTTTTCACTACATCTGTGTCTTTGGGGTAAATACCCAGGAGTGCAATTGCTGGGTCATAGGGTAGCTCTATTTTTAATTTTTTGAGGAACCTTCACACTGTTTTCCAAAGTGGCTATACCAACCTGCATTCCCACCAACAGTGTAAGAGGGTTCCCCTTCCTCCACAACCTCTCCAACATTTGTTGTTTCTTGCCCGGTCAATTTTTGCCATTCTAACTGGTGTAAGGTGATATCTCAATGTGGTTTTAATTTGGATTTCCCTGATGGCTAATGATGATGAACATTTTTTCATGTGTCTGTTAGCCATTTGTATGTCTTCTTCAGAGAAGTATCTGTTCATGTCTTCTGCCCATTTTTTGACTTGATTATTTGTTTTTGGGTGTTGAGTTTGAGAAGTTCTTTACAGATCTTGGATACCAGCCCTTTATCTGTAGTGTCATTTGCAAATATCTTCTCCTGTGGGTTGCCTCCTTGTTTTGTTGACTGTTTCCTTTGCTGTGCAGAAGCTTTTTATCTTGATGAAGTCCCAAAAGTTCATTTTTGCTTTTGTTTCACTAGCTTTTGGAGATGTATCTTGAAAGAAGTTGCTGTGGCCGATGTCAAAGAGGAATAAACCTAACCAAAGAGGTAAAGGATCTATACTCTAGGAACTATAAAACACTCATGAAAGAAATTGAAGAAGACACAAAAAGATGGAAAAACATTCCATGCTCATGGATTGGAAGAATAAACATTGTTAAAATGTCTATGCTACCCAGAGCAATCTCTAACTTCAATGCCATCCTGATCAAAATTCCAATGACATTTTTCAAAGTGCTGGAACAATCCTAAAATTTGTATGGAATCAGAAAAGACCCCAAATCGCCAAGGAAATGCTGAAAAAGAAAAACAAAGCTGGGGGCATCACGTTTCCTGACTTCAAACTATGTTACAAAGCAGTGATGACCAAGACAGTATGGTACTGGCACAAAAACAGACATATAGACCAATGGAACAGAATAGAGAGCCCAGATATGGACCCTCAACTCTATGGTCAAATAATCTTCGACAAAGCAGGAAAAAATATGCAATGGAAAAAAAGACAGTCTCTTCAATAAATAGTGCTGGGAAAATTGGACACCACGTGCAGAAGAATGAAACTTGACCATTCTCTAACACCATACACAAAGATAAACTCAAAATGGATGAAAGACCTCAATGTGAGACAGGAATCCATCAAAATCCTAGAGGAGAATATACTCCTTTTTTAAAAAACAATTTTAGTGAATTAAAATACCTCAACATTGGGTATAAATCTATACATAAAATGCTGTAGCCCATGATCATGGAAATACAAATCAAAACCACAATGAGCCCATGATTGCGGAAATACAAATCAAAACCACAATGAGTGGTATCACTAAGTGATACCACTTTGCACTGGTCAGAATGCCTAAAATGAACAACTCAGGACACAACAGATGTTGGCGAGGATGCAGAGGAAGGGGAACCCTCTTACGCTGTTGGTGGGAATGCAAATGCTAGAGAAGAGTATGGAGGTTCCTCAAAAAGTTAAAAATAGAGCGACCCTACAACCCAATAATTGTACTACTATGTATTTATCCAAAGGTTACAAACATAGTGATTCAAAGGGGCATGCACCCCAATGTTTATAGCAGCGAAGTCCACAGTAGCCAAACTATGGAAAGAGCTCAGACATCCAACGAAAGATAAATGGATAAAAAAGATGTAGTATGTGTGTGTGTGTTTATATATATATACACACATATACATACATATATATACACATACATACACATACATACGCATATATGTGTACACACACACACACTCACACACTGGAATATTACTCAGCCATCAAAAAGAATGAAATCTTGCCATTTGCAATGACATGGATGGAACTACAGGGTATTATGCTAAGCGAAATAAGTCAGTCAGAGAAAGACAAATACCATATGATTTCACTCATGTGGAATTTAAGAAACAAAACAGATGAACACAGGGGAAGGGAAGGAAAAATAAGATGAAAACAGAGAGGGAGGCAAACCATAAAAGGCTCTTAACTATAGGAAACAAACGGAGAGTTGCTGGAGGGAAGGAGGATGGGGGGAAGGGGATAACTAGGTGATGAGCATTAAGGAGGGCACTTGAAGTAATGAGCACTGGGTGTTGAATGCAACTGATGAATCACTAAATTCTACCTCTGAAACGAGTAATACAGTATATGTCAATTAAATAGAATTTAAATTTAAAAAAATTTTTAATGCTTTAGCCCATGAATTTTCTGGGGGAAATTCAGACAAAAGCAGGCAGAAGGATTATACAGACATACATAAGAGTTTTCCTGCTGTGAGCTGACTGTGCAGGAATAAAACTGGGCAAAAATCCTCAGAGGTGATGGTGAAGGACTACAACTGGGAAAAACCCAAAGTGTTCAAATTATTTGTGAAAGAAGATTCACACGTGGTTTTAGACTGAAAGTTTCTGCACAAATCATCTGAAATATACTATGTACTAAGAAAAGCTCCATTAAATAGTTGAGAGAGAGAGGGGTGCCTGGGTGGCTCAGTCGGTTAAGCAGCTGCCTTTGGCTCAGGTCATGATCCCAGGGTCCTGAGATGGAGGGCCGCCCCCCCACCACCACCATCGCAGGCTCGGTGGGAGCCTGCTTCTCCCTCTCCACCCCCACCCCGCTGCTCCTGCTCTCTCCTCTCTTTCCCTTTCTCTCAAATAAATAATCTTATAAAAAGTTAGTTGAGAGAGAGAAATAAGCAGTATTTGGAAACAGTAATATTTCACCCAGCAAAATAGAAATAATGTATAAACCCAGCCCCAATAGAAATACTGTTATTTCAGCTGCAACAGTAACTTCCCACTATAACTTTATTCATTTACATATGAGCTTAGGGACATGCACTGCTTCCAGAAAGACTCTACAAAATACAGATACACAATTGAAACTGTAAAAATAGAGTACAATAAAATCGCGAATAAAGGAAAGCAAGCATACCAACCAGCTATAATTCTACAAACCCGAGGTAAACATAGCTTTGAGTTTCCTAAAATTCATAATAAAAAGGGGAAACGTATCACTTTAAGTCATTTTCATTATATAAAAGAAACCAAGTCAGTTCCTCAAAAATGAAAATTTTTCAAAATACTGAAATAAAAATATCGTATATAAAAACAAAATAGAACAATACCAGAAAAAGATCGCAGTCCCATGTTTCTAATACATTATGAAACGAAAAGAATTTGCCAAGGGCTGGATCACTTTCATTTCTTCAGTCTAGGGGACCTGAAATCCTACAGACCGACCTTCAGAAGTTACCCTCAATAGGTAATTATACAAGGAACGAGCAAACACCGCAAGAAGGACACTAACATTCAGTAGGGCATCCTTCACTCTACTACAGAAAACAGGAACACTCAGGTGCTGTCAGTTTTCCCATTTTGTCAAAACGTCCAAGACGTACCCGCTCAACAACTTACTTGAAATTCGGTATGTCAGAAAACCACCGCACCAGCTACAAAGTACTTAAAAAGTGTTTGCAGAACTGGTTACAAAGACGCCCCAGACACCCTTCCGGAGGCTACAAACGTTTGCTCCGCTCACGGTGCCCTCCAGAGGACTCTGTGAGGAGACGTAAAAAGCCCAGTGCCAAACGCAGAACCCTGCTAGTACTCACGCAAAGGGCGCTTAAGCGCGGCCACACTCGGAATCCTGCGGAGCAGAATGAAACCAAGTAGCAAGAATCACAAGAGAGCAACGAAAAGCTACGTGAGAGGCCGCCGAAGGAGCGAGCCCAGGGCGCTCTCCCCAGCGACTGCTGTCGCTGGAGGGCCCGGGGCCGGACCCGGGGCGAAGGGTCCTCCTCGGCTAAGGAGCTGACCTCCCTTATAACCTGGATAGGGACCGCGGGCGGGGGCGTAGCGCCTGCCCCGGGGAGCGGGAGGGTATGCTCACCTCAGGGCCGGCCCCCGGGAAGGGGCTCACCTGGAGGCCGTCTTCAGGTAAGGAGCTCACCTCAGGCCCCGCCCCGAGTAGGGCCGGCGGGCGCGATGGAAGGCAGTCCCCAGGTTAAGGAGCTCACCTGGCGGCCAGCCCCGCTTGGGGACCGCGGGCGTGGGCGGAGGACCGTGGCGGCAGCAGGTCCGGGATCCCGGGCTGCCCCACCACGTGGGACCGGCCCCCGCTCTCCTTCCGCCCGACGCCGGCGGCGCGGCGGGGCGGGGCAGCGCGCACGCCAGGCATCGCCAGCAGAGCGCCGAGGCGCCTCGCCCATTGGTGGAGACGGTTGCGCGTTGGAGGCCCGAGCGGCCCAGCCCGCGGCCCGCTCCGTGTCAGTCAGTCATGGAGCGGCCGCCCAGAGCCGCCGCTGCGGGGGCGGCAGGGCGCGGGGCGCGGGGGCCCGGCTGAGCCGGCCGTCGGAGCGAGACCCTGCGGCAGAGACGACGGAGGCGGAAGCAACCCGATCCCGGAGGCGGCGGCGGCGGGAGGAGCCGGAGCCGCCTGGGATGTTCAGTGAGTGCGGGGCGCGCGGGCGGGGAGGGCCGGGGGAGGGGGTCGCGAGCCGAGCGCGCGCGGGCGGGCGGGGGCCGGGAGGGAGGGAGGGAGCGCGGGCGGCGGCGCGCGGCGAGGCCTAGGCGGGGCGCGCGCCCGCAGCTCCCGCCGGCGGGGCGGTGGGGGCGGGGCGGGCGGGCGGGGCCGGCTGTGCGCGGGCGCGGCGGCCGCGCCTCCGCCCTCGGCCTCCGAGTCCCAGGCGGCCGCGGGCGGCGTGGCCTGCAGTCGGCAGCTACACCTGGAAGGCTCCGCGTTCCTGCTCGGGGTGGATCCTGCCGGGGCGGCTGCCGGGCACCCGCCCGGAAGGGGTCCTGAGCGCTGGACAGCCGGGCAGGAGCACAGGTCCGAATCTCCTTTTCATTTAAGGAAAAAGGAAATGCCTTTTGGCCGAACTCAAGATTAAACTTCGCACATGGTGATTGCGGGTGGCTGGGTGTGAGATCGACCTCTGCATGTGACAGGGGAGATCTCGAGTTAGACTAGTTGTTGCTAGAGGGTACCGACCTGCAAGGTTGCCTTTAGGGTTGTTTAACTCATGACAGCAAGAGATTTGCGCGCTTAGGCGGTACTCGCGAAGCTCCAGGGCTTTTGAAAATGTATTGGGTAAGGCGTTGGTCCGAAGTCAGTTGATGGTTAGAAATAGTGGTGTCATTTTAGACTTAGCGGAAGTGGAGCACTTGAAAGCTTCATGCAGTTCTCCCATCAGTTGTGAAAGTGTCGTTATACTGCGGATCTCGCAGCATGTATGGCTCTGGGATCAGAAGGTAAATCTGCCAATCCCATGCGGTGTTCGTCTTAAATTACCTAAACTCTGACCTTGCAGATTAAAATCTTGGAATGGTGACTCCCGCGAACAAGCAGTTGGGCGCTGTGTCGGGAGGAACAGTAAGGGCGGAGTTTGTCTTCTCTTAGGTGATACAAGTGTGTGACATACCTGAGTTGGGGGGTGGGAGGAGGACAAGGCGGCCGTTCCCCAGCCTTGCTCACAGCCCTGCTTGAAAGTGAGAGTGGGAAAGGGGAGTTTGAGCCACATCTTTAAACTCCGAGAAACTTCATGTAGTGCATGGGGCTTGGTGACTATGTAGAGCGAAGGTTGAAACCATGTAACTATCAGTGTAACTATGTGAGCCTTAGTTTCCTCTTCTGTAAAACGAGGTGATGACTGATAACTTAAAAGTGGATCTTTTAAAGGGTACCACAAAAGGGAATAATGAATGTGAAAATGCCTGACATATAGAAAACACTCTAAATATTAGCTGTTGTAATTTCCTTTTTGGGAAAATACCTTTTAGGTTCTTTATAGGCCTGAATATTTTGTGTTAAATGGGAAGCCTATGCTAACATTGATTTGCTTTAGGAATTACAAATTATTCTTGCCTTGAAAATCAGTGTTAAACTAGGAAACCAAAGGGTGGGCTTGCCTTGAGTTTTTTTCTTTGTCATCAAACAATAAATCAGGTTATTGTGTCTTGGAATAGTTTTGTTGCTTCTGTCTATAAATGTGAGGTTTATGTGTGCTTTTGTCACTGTGAAGCTAGGTAAAGGCCTCGCTTAACTTCTCAGCAACTAGTTTGGGGGTTTTGTTTTTGCAAACAGATGTCCTTCATAACACCTGTGAAGAACATCTTTGGAGAAAGGGACAGGGGTTTGGTTTTGATGATTGATTTTCGCTGGAAGGGAGCCCTAGGGATCCTCTGTTAAACCAACATTACTCAGTTTCCAGCCTCCCTTCATCTTCTCAGGTAGTGATTGTTCTACCTGTAATTGTTCTGATCATTCTCTCAACAAGCAACTGGTAAGCCTTCACTATTGTCAAGAAGCCTCTGATTTAATGTAGAACCCTTTGGGCAGTAGGACATTGTAAAGGATAGGAGTTCAGACCCTGAAGCTCTGCAGATGACCTGACTTTCCATCCTAGCACTATAGAACCTTGGGACTGTGTTTGACTTCTGTGGGCCTCAGCCTTCTTATCCCAAGAGTGTTACCTAGCTTAGAAAGCTTTTGAGGTATACAGGAGATAACCTGTGTGCAGCACTTAAAATAGTGTCTTACCAGTGGCATACACTGAATAAGTATTAGGTATTAGTAGTGGTAGTGTAGAAAACAAATATTATGGTAAGCAATGAGACAGAAGTTGTTCCTGGATTCAGTGGTGGAGGAAGCTGAGTTGAGCTATGAAAAGAGAGTAGGATTTAACCAAGTTGGAATGCCAATGTAGGGGGTGCCTCCAGTTAATGGAGAGGTCTTGGCCAAAGCCCCTGAGATGAGAAAGTGGGGTGGTACCTACCAGTTAAGTTAACAAAGATGGATCAGAGTAACCTCAAAATGACACAAGGGAGATTGAATTTTTTATCCTCCAATCAATGGAGGCAGTAGAAAGTTTTTAAGCTGAGCAGATGCCATCAGATTAGTTTTTTGGGAAGATTGTGCCGATTGTACCTGCAGTAGTATGGGATTGGATTAAAAGTAGGGAAGGCCCATCCATCCACTTGTCCTGGCAGCTTTGTATCTGCCTGTGACTTGAAAAGGAAAATGACTGCTTAGCAGAGACAGGCATTTCATTCCAAATCTGGAAGTTTAGAGAGCATTTACAGAAAACAGGAAGAAATCCTTAGATATCCCAGGCAGCCTTCCCTCTTAAAAGTTGACTTCAAGGATATACTGTGTACACCTGATTATAAGGCAAAGTTCCCCCCAAACGTATCCCTCTGTAAAGAGAGTGTCACCACGTGTTCAAGTCTCTCCTATTACAGGGCACTCTCAGTCACTCTGGGTTTTTTTCTAAGATTTTATTTATTTATTTGTCAGAGAGAGAGACAGAGGCAGGCAGAGGGAGAAGCAGGCTCCCTGCCAAGCAAGGAGCCCGATGCAGGACTCAATCCCAGGACCCTGGGAGCACGACCTGAGCAGAAGGCAGATGCTTAATGGACTGCGCCACCCGGGCGCCCCTCAGGCACTCTATTTTGAACAACAGGATGCTGTTTGGGAAATACATATTGGGCTAAAATAACTTCAGTTGATGCTAGTTTGATATATTTATTCAATCAGTAGTCAATGATGACTGAAAAAATGTTCTGCCCTCCTGAATAGGTATTGATGGCTTTGGTTGGTTGAGGTTTCCAATGAGAGCATCATGTGTGGATTCAAGAAGTACTCTATCATAGCTGATTTGGTCATTGTGACGGTGATGTGCTCTGGAAAATGGAATTTGGTAATTCTGAGTGGCTTAAGTGACCACAGAGACACTGATAAGTGGAAGATGAAAGTGAATAGAGTAAAACTGTTTCGTGAATTAATATATTGCACTATATAATGTATTTTTAAATACATGTAAGTTAATAAATTAAAGATTATAAGCAGACATTTGACTGTTTCCTCTGTAGTCCTCAAAGGTTTTTTTTTTTTAATTTAAATTCACCCCCAAAATTTCTTAATTTTCTCATTGCAAGGGTATCATTGTCTTAGGTTTGAACTTAACCTTTTATTTGGATGTTTCATAGAAATTGACTGTTGATCTTTTTCTCTCCTGGAACAAATTCCCTTTTCTCATTTTTTAACTTTTAGAAGGTTTAAAGAACATTGCATACTGGTGAGGTTTAGAAAACACTGTGGAGAACTTCCATTCATAATTCTTTGTTCAGCAGTCAAATAAGATACTCTTCTGGTAAAATGTATTGAAATGTATCTTAGTCACCTTACAGTGACTGGTTGTCATAAAGGGTAGTTCTGTTTTACTAGCAAAATACAGCTGACCCTTGAACAAGGTATAACTGTGTGGATCCACTTACACACAGATTTTTTTTTTCCATGAAGACAGATGGTACTGTAAATATTCTCCTTAATGATTTTCTTAACATTGTCTTTTCTCTAGCTTTATTGTAAGAATACAGTATATAACTCTTACATGAAACGTGTTAGCCCACTGTTTATATTATCAGTAAGGCTTTCAGTCAACAGTAGGCTATTAGTAATGAAGTTCTTGGGGAGTCAAAAGTTATATGCAGATTTTTGACGGGGGGCAGGGAGGGTCACTTATGTTGTTCAGGGGTCAGTGGTACTCACTTTTGGATATTTGGTAATTTAGTAATGAGACATGTTTTGCAGAACTTTGTCAATCAGCATCTTTAGGGTAAGATGCTAGTACATTAGTTTCACAAAGTAATACCACACTCAACCCATTGGCGCATGTGTTTACTTAAATTTAATTAAATTAAAATTTCAGCACTGGCCACAGTTTAATTGCTCAATAGCTCTGTGTGGCTGGTGGATACCATACTGAACAGTGCAGACTTAGAACATTTCTATTATTGAGAAAAGTCCTACAGGACAGTACTGCTCTAAAATGAAAAATTAGGGGAGCCTGGGTGGCTCAGTCGTTAAGCGTCTGCCTTCGGCTCAGGTCATGATCCCAGGGTCCTGGGATCAGCCCTGCATCGGGCTCACCGCTCAGCAGGAAGCCTGCTTCTCCCTCTCCTACGCCCCCTGCGTGTGTTCCCTCTCTCACTGTGTCTCTGTCAAATCAATAAATAAAATCTTTAAAATAAAATGAAATGAAAAATTAGTATCATTCTACTTTGAGACACATACATAAATGTTTTAATGTCATTAAACTATTTCCAAAACCTGGCTGCATTTGATTCAGTTTCGTGGAGAAAAATTAACATAGGAAAACATATTTCTCCTAATTCTCTGAGAACAAAACATCTGTTTTTTCCGTCTACAATGGTGTTTGCAAATAGAGCATTTATGAAAGTTTTCTTTCTGAAGTCATAGTAAATAATGTAGATATCCATTCTTGTGCCGTACTCTTCTGTGTTAATGAGGTTTTGTGTAGGAATATTTTTTTTTCTGTGCTGCAAAACAGTGTTAAAACAGGAATCAAATATTTGTGACCCATAAAAATTCAGAAAGATCATGAACCTAGAGTAAACTGTCAAGAATTCCAAACAGAAGCTAGACAGCCCTCACTTTATTTTAAGATTTTACTTATTTATTTGACAGAACGTGCACAAGCAGGGAGAGTGGGAAAGGGAGAAGCAGGCTCACCACTGAGCAGGGAGCCCAGTGCGATGCAGGGCTCGATCCCAGACCCTGAGATCACGCCCTGAGCCGGAGGCAGACGCTTAACTGACTGAGCCACCCAGGCGCCCCAACCCTCACTTTATTTTTAATGTGAGTTTCAAAGATAAGAATAACTCTCTTCTCCAGCAATTCTCCGTCTGTCTGGGCAAACTAAGGAGCAGTGATGGCAGGATTGGACAACCTGCATTGGGGCAGGGTTGGGGAGCAATTTTAAGCTTGGGAGTAGCATAATAAGATTTGTCTTCTACTCTGGCTGCATTCTAGAGGGTGGTTTGAGGTAGAGCTAGAGGTGGGAGGATATTGGAATATTTCAGTTGAGAAGTGATTTGTGCTGTCCCATAGCAGCAGTGAAGATGGGGTAGCAGCAATGGCTGCAAGAAAGAATTCTGTGTGGAATAGAAGGAGTTGGTGACCTCTTAGAAATGAGAGGGAAGAAGAAAAACCTTAAGATGATGACTGGGGTTTTTGCTTTAGTGATAGATCATAGCACCATCAGGCTGGCAGTAGGAGAAGGAGGAGGATTTGAAGGAACATAATAAATTTGAGCATGTTGAATTTCACGTGTTTGCAGCATCTAGGTAGAGATGTCCCTCAGACTTGAGCTCAGGAAGGTAGTCTGACTAGAGACGGTGTAAGTCTTGTGTAAGGAGTGTGATGATGTAGAGAATGTGAAGAATGAGAAGCAGACCAAGAATGGGAGAGGGGGAGAGACCAAGGGAGAGGGAGTTTCAAGGGAGGAGGCATGTTCAGCAGCCAAGAGACCTTGTGGGATAGTGTGGAAAAGGGACTGTTGATTTGGCAAGAGTTGAGGAATCTCAGGTCTTAATAAATAGCCCACTGAGGTAGGGAGCAGGTCCCCTGGCTGGATAAGGAGACTGGTATGGCTTTGGAATAGCTAGGTAGGAAGCTATCAGGAAAGAAACAAAGTTAGTGAAAAAAGACTTCTGGAACATCAGAGAGGTCCCAGGTGATGTTAGAGAAGTTCAGTTTTAGTGGCATCTGTCTGCCTAGTTGTGTGAGTTCTGCCTGCCCCCCCCCCCCCCCCCCCCGCCGAAAAACCAAACCAAGACAAAAAAAACCTCCAGGTGCTGTGTTGCATCCTGAGCCCCTAGTTCCGAGCATTATTCTCATGCCATTTTTTTCTTGGGACACCATAAGAAAGAACACAACTTCTAGCTCAAGTATATTCATGTCAGTGTATGAGCAAAGATTGAATATGAAAGACCATCATAATATTAAAATTATATGAGGTATTACTAAAACTGAGAGTACTAGGGCTCATTTTGTCACCTGTGATTTATATTTTCACAAAGATAATTGAATACACTTTACCATAATGATTAATGCAAAAGCTAGCTTTTTAAAGGTCCTCCTTAGAATGACCTTTTGATAGATATTATATTTAGACTTCTGCAAGTAAAGAGAACTAATGTATTTGAGTACCTAGTATGCACTTTACATGGCGTCTTATTTAAGAGAAAATACACAAACGTTTTTATCTGTTTCTAAGCATAAGTTTATAATTGGAATACATTTGCTTCAAAGCACACACACCCCTAGCCACCTGTCAGTAAACTCATTTGGGGAGCTGATTCGAGAATGGTGGTGGTGAATTTGCCTGGATTTATTCTGAATTCACCTATGCTCAAAGCTGCCACCTTACCCAAGGGGTATTGTCCATACAGTATTCTATTAGTATTTAATGGAATTGTGTAGTATTTTGCCTGCTTAGCCCTTCACGTGGTGCCCTGGGATGTCTCTCCTAGCACCCTCCACCAGCACACACATTTGAACATAAGTGGGCAGGGTTAGGATGTAGTCTGTAACCAGTAAGAAATTTACTTGGCTGCAGTCCTGTATTATCATCATCATCTTAAGAGTGTGCCTGGGTTCCATGTGTCTTTGCCTCCCCATATTTCTGTAGTTAAATACCAAGAGTGGCTGTGGTTTTTCCTGCACAGTTGTTACTTTGAGACAGAAAGATGATCGTGTCTTGATTTTATATAGCAACTTTGTTAAAGTATTAGTTAAACGGTAGGCAGCTATTGATACATGAGAAATAGATACATATTGTGTCAGAACCCTCTTTTTAATTTCCAGAAATACTACTAATATGACATGAAGAGAAAGGTATGTGATCATCTATTTTTACTTTTAAAGTTAAGATATTATGTAAATTGAAAATCATGGGAAATCCTGAAATTTTAACAAGGATATAATTATATCCAAACTTAATTTAAATTTAAAAGATTTTATAATTATGGGAAAAGCTAAGCAAGTAACTTGAAATTTCAGTGTTAGTGTCATGTCTGCCAAAAGACAGGTCTATTTTAAGGAGTTTTTTTTTTCCTCATGTGTCCATTTATGGATATTAGTATTAGAGAAATCAGTAGGGGGAGGGGAACTGGTTTCTCCACAGAACTCTTCATTATTTGTTTCATTTGAAATATGTGTGCGTTGGAATCAAATCCACTTACGTCTATTGGGTCATGTCTCTGGTATTTCAGTTGAGTCTGGTAAAAGAGAGTTAGTTAATGCCAGCATTCCTGCTCCTTAAGGTCCTTGGCCCTACAGTTGGCTCACCGCCTACCCTCAGGAAAGGTCCCTTGTCATAAATAGTGGTTCGGGTTCAGAGAAACTGCCATTTGGGCCAGCTAATTTGGACAAATTCATCAGAATCAGTATTTATAAATGAATTTCTAGCAATCCCAAATATGGCCAGTTTTTGCTGTTGTTCATTCTCACTCCTGTTTACCCTTCCATACCTTTCATATCTTTTCCCCTCCTCCTCTGATGTGCGTAAACATTGCCCTACTGTGAGGACAGTGTGTCATTACAGGGTCTGTTCTCTCTGTCGATTGTTCTGTGTCTTTCACATGTGTGGTTTCTCCCTGTTAGAGAGGTGATCTCTTATTCCCATCTTATTTGGAGCACTGAGGGACACACATTGATACAAGCATGTATTCCCATAGCAACAAGAGATTGGCAGGAGGAAATCTGAAAAAGTGTGAGTCTCAGCTAAAATACGAGAAATCGGGCTGCTTTGGAAGAGTTCGGAGACGAGGAGCTCTTGAAGTTAGATTAAAAGCAGCTTTAGCAAACATTGTGGGGGGAAGGGGGGAGGCACAGGATGGGGCAGTGGGAGCTGGTTGGATTTGACTAGTCCTGACTTGGGGCCAAACTGGGAAAGGGCAGTATTGTCACAGTCTCTGTGTGCATTTCATTGTTTTTCTCTAAGTATAACATTGAATCAGAATCTCCAGGGTTTGAAATTATTCATACACATTGTTACAGGAGGTTCTTAGGTGTAGCCAGATTAGAGAACCATAGAGAATCACTGATACAGTCAAAATGGTACTGTAATGCTTATTAGTAACCACCAAAAAACAATTATCTGCTTTCATTGATAGACAGATGAATGCTTGGAGCAGGGATTCCCACTTACAAAGTATCAAAATCCTTGTATTGGCAATTAAAAAAAAAAAAACTTAATTAAAAAAATAATCTCAGTTATCAGTATAGTGAAAGACTAATACACCAAAACTGAGTGAGGCAAATTCCACGGTAAAAAGGTGGTTCAGGAAATTTATTAGTAATTAGAAATGAGAAATTTATTAGTAATTTTCTTTGTATCACTGTCAACCATATCACACCCAGTGCCCTCCTTTTTAGCAAATGATTTTATACTTTCTTTAGTAATCCAAAACTGAAATGCATAGAGAATATAATTTTTCTAAATACATGATTTAAAGTAACATATTCATGATATCCTAACATTTGTATTTTTATATAGATATATATATTTTAGTGTGTGTGTCTCCAGCCTTCACTGTTTGCTCTGTTGTAGGACTTTTGGGGAATTGAAATGTAGATATTCAGAGTATACCACAAGTCAATTTGGAAAGAAAGGATTATTTGCAAATAATTGTAAAATAATTTGTTGCTACAGTATAAAACTGTATGTTGTTGCTGTATAAAACATTTGGCTATTCGCCACACTTACACGCTAAAAAACGGCAGATGGATAAAAATGAGGTACAAATAAAATTTTTTGAAACATTTAAAGAAAAAAAGGCAGATTTCTGGAATGGGGGGAATTTTAAATCTTAAAAGGGAATGGAGGCAATCACAAAGGAGGCCAGTGCATGTCGTTGAAACAGAGAACTCAGACACTCCAAATAAATTACCAAAAGCAGATCTCCCATACACCAAACATTGGGAGCCGTTGATTTAGGGAAGGTTACTTTGATGGGGACAATCACGTGTGTATGGATAATGTTGCAAGCATTCCGTTTTTACATGACATAGAAAATTCATCCAGCTGTCGTGGGTCACCGGGACTGCAGTATCCTTTACCTCTAACAAAGCGGTGTTTGAGACCCATGGTACCTTCGGGAGTTCCTGTTGTTCTTGATCATTAATTTAATCATCAAGGAAAATAGTCCTTTCTGAGGAGAACCCTCAAATTAGCTTAAATTACCAAAAGTAATTTAGCCCTATTTGCTGCACTTCCTACCATTTTCTTTTCCTTTCTTGTAAGAATTTGTGAGACATATTCTAATGCATATACATACCCTCTTACCATTTTGATGCTTTCCTGGGCCTGAGGTTGTAAAGAGTGAAAGAGGTAGATAATGGGATTACAGTGAAGACATGTTGCTCCAATCTTTGACGTAGTGCTGCCAGCGTGTTCCTGACTATTAAGAAAAACATAGCATTTCTTTCCTCATTAGTAACTGCTCACTTTCTCAACTTCCATTTATCCAGTGTCTGAGTTTCTCAGATCTTTGATTTTCGTCTTGCCTCCTGCCTGCTTTATTTGGCCAGTTCACTGCCAATTAACACCTCTCTCCCAGAGTAGGCAGGAGAAATAAAAGGCTCTGGAATTGACCTGGTCCTGTAGGCTCCTTGTTAGCAGCTCTAATGAAAAGTTCTACCAGAAAGATTGAAATCATGGTATTAAATTAAACTTGGGGGTGGTCTGTGGGGTTTTATTCTCCATAATATTCCTATTTTCCGCCATTGAAGTTGATTGTATCACTATTGAGAAAATAGATACTACACGGGAGAGTGCTAGGTTAGTAACTTTGCATCTTGACTAGGTCACGTAACTAGCCACGTGGCTAGTCTTTGTCTACGCCTTATTTTACCCATGCGCTGTGTGCGCTGGCTTGGGTCATCTCCCACGTGGCTTAGTGTTCTGTGGTTCCCCCCGAAGGTCATGAAACGAGTGCGCACCGAGCAGATTCAGATGGCAGTGTCCTGCTACCTCAAACGCCGGCAGTACGTGGACTCCGATGGTCCCCTGAAGCAAGGACTGCGGCTCTCACAGACTGCTGAGGAGATGGCGGCCAACCTCGCAGGTAATGGGGGTGAGGGGGCAGGCTGGAGCAGAAGTCACGTAGAGGACCCTGAGAAGGTACTTCTCCTCCTCTTCTGGAGAGAGTGCGGCAGCCTCCACAGGCAGCACCACATGCCGGCCTTCAGAGATGCTATCTGTCCTTCAAAGCCACTTCTAGAGGCCTCCTGTCGTAACCCATCCTGCCTCAGAATTCTCTGCTTTCAGCTGTATCTGATGTTTTCCCTCTGTGAACTAGTCTGCTACGAGACCCGGAGGGCCAGGGCTTCCATCATGTCCCTCCCTGTAGCCCAGAGCCTTGCCCATGGAAGTCAGGTTTGCCGGGTGAACGAGTGCTTTGGGATCAGTGGTCGGAAAGATTGGCATCCTAGATATGTTCCTGAGGTCTTTAAGGTTTGTTTTTGGGTTTTGTTTTGAAATCAGATTCTTTTTTAGAGAAATGTGTGTTAAATCTCTTTAGAACAGCAAATAGTTATTACTTAGCGATGTTGTGAGTTGAGTTTTTATGTGATATAATTTTCTTCTATTGGATCTGGGGACTGGAGACTTTGCCAAAAAACAGACAGCCGCAGTGCTTTTCAGGTGATTGTGAGCTGCTTTAATGGCTGTGCGAGGAGTTCAACACCGGAGTGCTTTCTCCAGCTCAGCCCTGCTTCCTCTTACCTGCTTCGACTTCACTGTTCTCTCTTTTTTATTCTGGTATTTCCTTCTGCTCTTCTGAGTATCTGTCACCACCTACTTCATCCCTTAATGGTTTCAACCCCCACACTGGTGGCAGCAGCTCCCTCTGCTCCCTCTTATTATCCTCAGAGTCATGAACCCAGACCCTTCACACGCTAAGGGTGCATTGCTATTGCCATAGGAAAAGAATGATGGGACAGTAAAAACCTGAGGATGTCCTCAAAGAGCTGCTTCCTGACTCCTCCTGAGACAGTAGAAGTAGCCCTTCTTGGGCACCTGGGTGGCTCAGTTGGTTAAGCGACTGCCTTCGGCTCAGGTCATGATCCTGGAGTCCCTGGATCGAGTCCCGCATCGGGCTCCCTGCTCGGCAGGGAGTCTGCTTCTCCCTCTGACCCTCTCCCCTCTCATGTGCTCTCTTCCTCATTCTCTCTCTCAAATAAGTAAATAAATAAAATCTTAAAAAAAAAAAAAAAAGAAGTAGCCCTTCTTGTTATACCTTCTTATAAGAAGGTATCTGCCTTCTTATTCTTTAACATCAGATCCACCCCCATTGTTCCTTTCTTTCAAACTGGGTTACCCCTGACAAGAACAGAGCCAGATGAGGGACTTGGAATAGATTACTAAATGCCTTATTGTTTCGAATAGGATGGCCAATTTATAGAGCCAGAGTAATTCCTTCTCAACTTGCCAGCACAGCCTTTAATGTGCATGAATAATCTCCTGCTACCACGTGTTCATTAGAACCTGGGAGCAGTAATTCTCTGCAGTTGTTGACAGAAAATAGAAACAAGCACTATTATACAGAACGTGACTGCCAGAACATGACTCTTCTTAGTCGTCTTAATGCAGATATAATGGCTTATTAGGAAGGTCACTCTTGTTCCTGGAAAACCACCAGGAAATGTGAGTATCATAAGATTTTGTCCTAGGTCTTTCTGTCAGTTGAGTAATCTGAATGATTATGTCATCATTCAGCATACCACCTATTGAACATCTGCTATAGGTCAGGTGCTGAAAAGTCCTAGAGATAGCTAATGTTTGATCCTAGCTCCTGAAGAGCTTAACATTATAGCCAGGAAATGAGGCGGATAAATCAGTGATGACAGGAGGGTGTGATATAGTAAGTTCTATGAAGGGAGAATGTTTCAGGTTCTGTAGGAACAAAGAAGGTGGTCATCTAAATTAGCTTGGCAGGTCAAGGATTGCTTCCCCAAAGGTTTCATGATTCCCAGAATATAGTCAGGGGTTAGTAAATAGGAGTGAGCTGAGTCTCAAAAGAACCGTTAGGAGCTTACCAGGGGACAAGTTGGAGAAGGATATCTAGGTTCTCAAGTGTGAATTATGGAAAGATCACTCTGGTGGCTGCATTGATTGGGGAAGGCCCAGAGTAGAACCAGGGAAGCTAGTTAGAAGGCCATAGAATGATCCAGTGAGAAGTGAGGACAGCCTGAGTTAAGGAGGTGGTAATAGGAGTGGAGAGGAGAGGATAGATTGAGGAATCTGTAGGATTTGGTGACTGATTAATTCAAGGTGGGAGCCACGTGAAGGAGAGAGGAGTACCATTCGTGCACATGCAGCACATCCTTCTGCCTCAGGCTGTTGCTCTGAGATCTCGTAGGGCACACTGACTGACTTCTCATCTGTATCCCCCTTCCTGTACATGTTATGTTGTGGCTACCTCAGTCCTGTATTAATTTCATTCCTCCATCCATAATCTGTCTTCTGAAATGTGTTAGTTTCATCCAGATTATTAAAGATGGCTCCCTTGGTCCCCAGCCACCTTTTCCCAGTGTCCCCTTACCCCCGCAGAAAGGGTAAGGGAATGTTCTTTCTCTTTTTAGAAAGAATAAATTCACAGAATGGAGACTAAGTGCATGTTTACGTACTGTGTATCTGCATATTGAGACTCTAGCCTTCTTCTCCACATCCCGCTGCCTAGAACACTAGCAGTCAGTCACATATCCCTCAGGAAGGTGATTAGAGGTTCTTCCCTCGTGAATCTGACCTGCCCAAGAGAGAAGACCTGTGAAGACATTGACATTGAGAAATTGCCTATCCAGGTCATGCTGAGTGATAAACACACAGAGTTTCCATCAGCTCTGTAATACTTCACCTTCAGCCATGAAGGAACCTAATGTACTCAGTATAAAGAGGAGAGGTGGAAAGAATCAGCGAGAAGCAACTTGAGTGAAGCAAACAGCTGAGAGAAGAAAACTTCAAAAATACCATAATTGATAGCCTTGAGACAAGAAGAAAATGCTATTTTTAAAAAACAAACAACATTAGGAGAACAGCAAGAAATGTGGCAGATTTAAGTAAATGGTAATAAAAATGAGAAATCAGTAGAAAGGTTGAAAGTTGAGGAAGCAGATCAGTTCAGGGAATCTAACCTTGAAATAGTAGGGGGTCCCGGGGACACGTGGCTGGTTCAGTTGGTAGAGCATGTGACTCTTAATCTCAGGGTTGTGTGAACCCCACATTGGGCCTAGAGCTTTCTGAAAAAGAAGAAGAAGAAAGAGAAATAGTAGGGGTCCCTGAAAGAGAAAACAGAATCAACAAATTTCTCAGAACCAAGAGACATGAATTTTTATTGAAAGGGCCTACTAAGTGTCCATAATGATGGTTGAAAATAGACCCACACCAAGGCACATTATCATAGGATGTCAGAACATGGGGTCAAATGCTTTCAGATATGTCCCTCATGTACTTATGTACCTGTCCTCTCTCATTCAACTTAATCCTGTGCTTTATACCTTTTCATTCCTCCACTGTCATTTTTTGGGGGTATCAGGAAGAAGAGGAGATAGGGGTTACACTCGGCCATATTTAATCAGAAGCCCCACCATACTCTTAAAAAATCTACTGACATGTCCATTGCTATGATGCATACTTAACACCCTCTTCCACCCATCTTGCCACATACTGGATTAATAATTGTGTTTTCCATCCCCACCATATATATCTTTTCCTCCTTAGTCCAATCAGAATCCGGCTGTGCCAACATAGTGTCTGCAGCCCCTTGCCAGGCAGAGCCCCAGCAATATGAAGTACAGTTTGGACGCCTACGGAATTTTCTCACTGGTAAGTGTTCAGCTTAAAGAAGAACTTCCTCTTACTAAGAAAGAATCCCGCAACTTTCCCTCAGAACCTATTGTATTCCTGGTATGGTGTACTTAGTACGGATTCAAAGGTAGTTGAGGGCAGTCCTTGCATTCAATCTTACAATCTATTGGACCTCCTAGGAGAGTTAAATCACAAGTTAAAGTTTGCAAGGGCTAGGGCTCCCTGTGTTTTGGTCACTGTTTTGTCCATGGCTGTCAGCAGAGTGACTAGAACTTGCGATGAAACAGTGAAAGTTAAATCAGCCATGTAGAGAAACATCCTTAAATGCAGAGAATTTGTAATGGACATTGAAATCACTATTAATAATATGGTACATCTCAAAATGAGCTTTTCCCCTTATTTCCGAAAGTGCAAGACACTAGCCATCATGAATCAGCAAGACAAAAAAAATTAGAAGTAGTTTAGTCCAGTTTGTGGGTGGCGTAATGACCATTAAAACAGAAAATCAGTAGATATGAGTTCCAATCAGTTCTTTTAACTCACTGTATGACTTTTTAAATGAATCACTTAAAAAAAAAAATGGAGTAGTTTAGCATCTCTGCAGCCCTGGTTTCTTCATCTGTGAAATAAGGTGATTCAAAGGTATAACCAAGTGATTTCATCCAGTCCTAAGATAACTGATTATAATTTTAATGTTGGAAAGATTATCGCAGTGAGGGAGACTACGTTGATTCAGGTTATTAATTAAAGTCTTTTGTTGAGTACTTTTTCATTCAAAACACCTTGAGGTATAAGAAATAAAAAACTTTCTCTGCCCTCAAAGGGTTGAGAGTAATTAGTAGGTATTGGTTAGTGGTAAATTGTAGTTAAAGCACTTTGAGGTTATTTCATTTTTCTTTTTTTATTTGAAAAAATCCTCAGGGTAATAATAAGTTTTAATGGTAAAGATGCATATAAGGTGATCAATCTATAAGCCACAATAATATAGCTAATTTTACATCACTTAATGTTACTTGACCCTCATTATGATCTGTATTTTTTTAAAGGAAAGATTCCACATTTTCTGTATTCTAGGGAAAGTGGCCAGAGTGTTACAAGAAATAAAGGTTACAAAATAAAACCTTAGAGAGGGTTATCTTATCAGCCTCAGAGTTACTGGAGTGATGGAATTCATAAGTACCATCTATTAAACGGTTACAAAAATGAAAAAATCATGAAGCTTAAAGGTTTAGTAAAAAGAGTCTATTATGTTTAAACTGAAAAAGAAGTTCGATTAAGATCCTCATATCATATGAATGTTAAATATCTCAGAACAGTGATCAGCTGCTTTCTATCTCCAGTAAGGATAAAAAGAGAAAAATTGAATTTATAAGAAGGCTTTCACTGAGAGGTAAGCAAGAACTTGGAGATACTGAGTTATGTAATCACTGGCATTGGTTTTTTTGAGGCTTTTAGCAATTTTTTTTTTTTTAAGATTTTATTTATTTGACAGAGAGGCACAGTGAGAGAGGGAACACAAGCAGGGGGAGTGGGAGAGGGAGAAGCAGGCTTCCCACTGAGCAGGGAGCCCGATGCGGGGTTTGATCCCAGGATTCTGGGATCATGACCTGAGACGAAGGCAGACGCTAAAGACTGAGCCACCCAGGTGCCCCTAAGCAATTTATTTTTTAAATTTAAGTCTTTAGAAAATCATTTTACTCCCTTTTTGAAATATAACTATATTTCTTTGCCCATGATCGATTTCTCTCTCCATGCTAGTGGTGGGGAAGCTGGTTTAAGAAGGAATGCCTGGCTTCTCTCAGCCTTTCTCTTTCATTCATTCAGCCGATATTTATGTTAGGCACTGACTACTTGCTGGGCTAGATGTTGCAATAGAGCATATTGATGTGGAGCCTACTGCCTAATGAGGGAAACAGACAAAAGCATAAAGCCCCAGTATATCATTCTAATAGTGATGCCCTCCATGTACTCATAGACGTGACTTATTTCCATGATGGTTGATGCTCGTGACTAGTGACATACTGGTTTTTGTTTATATTCTTTAATCACTGAAGCATAGTTGTAATAAAATAGAGTCATTGGAATAATATTATTACAGAACTGTGGTTACTTTTCACAATGAAGAATTAATACATTTAATTGATCACGAATGTGATTTATCCTGGTGCAAAGTTTTCTGCTTAGATTTATTTCTTTGGGGGTGCCTGGGTGGCTCAGTGGGTTAAGCGTCTGCTTTCACCGCAGGTCATGATCCCAGGTCCTGGGATCCAGCCCTGTGTTGGGCTTTCTGCTCAGCAGGGAGTCTGCTTTTCCCTTTCTCTCTGCCCCTGCTCATGTTCTCTCTCTCATTTACTCTCTCTCTAAAATAATTTTTTTTTTAAATCTTTAAAAAAATTTTCTTTGGGCTCTTACTATTTTTCTTGACTATTTACTAAAACTCTTAATATAGAATAGCTGTTGACTCCTTGTGTCTGATGATACTGGTTTTTCCTAATATGTGGTACCTTCTTTATTCTCCTCTCATAATTTCCTTCCCCCAGAACTTTAAATTTCAATACCTGGCAATGTATTAACCTTCTCCTTTGTCTTGTTTCAAAACTGAGGAAGTTGTCTGTTAATTTTACCTATAATTCTTTAATCCATTGGGCACAGGTTACTTGGAGGGGGTAAATATATATTTTATGGGGTTTTTTGTTTTTGTTTTTATTTTTTATTTTATTTTTAGCAAGGTTTACTGAACGATAGCAAAGTGATAGCACAAAGCTCCCGAGGAGGAAGGGGACCTGAAAGAGTTGCCCTGTTTTGTGTTTTTACAGACTGCTTTTCCTGGAATATTTTTCCCTACCCTCAGGTCTCTGAAGAGCAGTCAGCCAAGTCAAATGAACAAGTGTTTCCTGAGCACCAAGATAAAGTATGAGATACAGTCATTAATCTAAATAGGGAACAGTCCTAACATAAGAAGGCTAAAAGTAAAAGTTTTTAAATAAAGTTCAAATATGGTGGAAGAGGTTTAACAGGCCAGGATGAAATCAGTGCCAAAGTTTGTACATAGAGGAACTCTGGAATGAAAGGAGAATATGATTTGGACAGAGTAGCCAGAGAAGGCCTTACGGTCAGTCAGGAGGTGGAATTTAAGTCAGCGTTTGGAAGATGGGTTGGATTTCAGTAAGCTGTGGAAGAGAAGGAGGAGGATTCAGGATATGTGGAAAGACATGAGCAAAAGGGCAGAGATGGCAATTCTTTGGGCAGGAACAGTGAAGGAAGCGGCTTTGTTGAGAATGGGGTTTTCAGATTGGAGATAAAGCCAGCCACAGTGGAGCCAGGTTGAGGAGAGACCTGACGATTGGGCCTAGGAGACAAAAGTCTGAAAGCAGTTTATGAAAGGGTTTGCAAATGGGATGACCAGGAAGCCAGCCTAAAGTCCACTGTAGTACTGGAAAAGTGAGCTGAAAAAGGACCACAGCTCAACAGTGTTGTGCAAGTGAGAAGCAAGGTCTTGATTTCATAGTTAAAATTCCCAAGGTAGACTCCCCAAGGCTCAGGATTAAAGGAGGAAGAGTTGAGGATGACTTGGGCTCTGTGACAAATGGAGGCTTAAGCTATATTGAGCAGAAATAAGTCAGGTTGTTTTTTATATCATTATGATGGCTGCCTCCTGCTGTGTAGCTTGCAGTAGGAAATTGGAGGCTAGTATTTAAAACAAAGATACAGACTTGTGATAAAGAACTCAGTATCAGCTTCATGGAGGTGCAAATGCCAGTTTAAGGAGATGATAAATCTCAAAGGAAGATATGAGGAAAATAAGAGCAACTCGGGCTGTAGTACCCTAAGTGTATTTTTCCTCCATAAGTTCTCTGTGGTTGAGAGATTCTGTGAGCTTACCTGTTGCTCTGGGTCCTTTTCTTCAGGAGGTATAGGAGGAATAACAAAGACTTTGGAATCAAGCAGTCTGGGTGTGAATCTGGGCCCAGCTGTGACCCTTAGACTCGACAATAGATGTCAAGTGCCTGGATCACAGGAAGCACACACTCTGTGTTCATCCTTGAAACGAAATGAGTATTTGAGGAAGGAGAGAAGGAGGGGAGGCCCGAAAGGGAGGGAGGTGAAGAGTCGACCTGGGTAGTGTGATGTTTCAGAACAAAAGACAGGGCTGTGAGGTCAGCAGGAGAACAAGGGCTAACAAGCTAGGTTTTCATTTAACTTAGTGTCCTTTTTACTACTAATTTCTGCAAACTCTGCGAAAAACTTCCTCTTACTTACACCACCAGCAGAGTGTGGCACCGAGTAGGAGTTTGTTACATAGCCAGTGGATGGATGGATAGAAGGAAGGAAAAGCACACTTTTCAGAGGATATGTTACTTTTGAAATTAGAAAAAATATATTTCAAGCAAATACACTTTCAGTAAAATATAAAGTATATGTTACGATTTCAAGGAAACAAGATTAAAAATGAGAGTTAAGTCTTATGTGAGTCTTACTTTGTTCCACATAATGAATATGTTGATCCAGATTTTATTTTATACCTGATACACTGTTTTCTTCAAACAAGAGAGAACAATTAAACAATTTTGAAACTGAGCTGAAACAACAGTGAATTTCACTAAGTTTTAAAGTAGTGCAGCCCTATCTCTTGGTGGCTGGGTTTTGTTTTGTTTTGTTTTCTAAACTTACTAAACTAAAATGCCTCTCATTTTGAAAAATAAGCCTAATACTAAGATTTTAAGGAATTGCAAACAATCCTTCATCCCAGTAGAATATATTGGAAGTCTAATTGGTAAGGGTTGAGTTTTTGGGGTTTTGGTTTTTTTCATTAGTATTTTATGGAAAAAAGTTTCCAGAGGTCTTCCAAAGAATTACAGCATTTAAAGAAATACCAAAATCTGAATTAGGATCCTCCATAGAAACAGAACCAATAAGATGTATATACAGAAAGATATATTTTAAGGAATTGGCTCATGCACTTATGGAGGCTAGCAAGTCCAAAATCTGCAAGACAGGAAGGCAGGCTGGAGACCCAGGGAAGAGCTGCAACTCAAACCCAAAGTGAATCTGTTGGCAGAATTCCCTCTTCTGGGGAGGTCAGTCTTTGTTCTCATAAGGCCTTCAACTGATTGGATGAGGTTCACCACATTATGGAGGGTAATCTGCTTTATTCAAAGTCTACTGACTTAACTGTTAATCTCATCTAAAAAATACCTTCACAGAACCATCTAGATAATGTTTAAGTATCTGGGCACTGTGGCCCAGCCATGACACAGAATTAACCACCCCAAGTCTACCCCCTGTCAATTTGGTACCCATATCTATCTCCTTAAACCATACTTAATCTCCAAATAACGATGATTAACAAGGTCTTTAATCCAACTAACATGATACAGCTCTCCTGGGTACAACCAAAAATGCACGAATCCCTTCCCCAGAAGAAAAAGCAAAATCCTTAGGTGATTTACTCTTCTCCTTGATATCCTGTAACTTAAATACTATGGTGTAGAGTTAACAACACTTAACTACTCTGGTACGAAGTAAGGATAACTTATGTACATGATAAGGGAACAAGAGAGGGAAGAAAACAAAGATATGTGTAAATACACACACACACACATATTCATAACAAAATAAGGAGGGTAATTTAAATAATTAGTTTTCATTTCTGTAACTGGTCACATACTTCATAGCTGGTATTTACTTTCTTCCACTACTCATTCTGCATTTTCTTTGCCTTCAGCAAACACCTCAGCTGGTCCTGGTTCTTTACTGGATAGGATGACCTAAACCTCATTTCTGCAGTCTTGGGCCATTACTGGTCCTACTTGGATTATATTTTTATAGTTTTCCATTAATCTTAACCACAGGGCAGAATGATACTGAGAGATGCCCTAAGGGATCTCCTGTATTGAGGACATACTCTGCCTTACCTCCACTGTGGACTGGCAGTCCAATGTCCCCTTGGTAGTCAGGATCAGTCACCCCAGCCAGCACCATAACTCCCTTCTGGGCCTATTGAAGACATGAGGAGCCCAAAGTGGCTGGGTAACAGTCTTAAGTTTATTGGAATCATCGTTGTAATTTAAGTTCCTTTTCTAAATATGTCTTTGAGTAAGGACACATTTATTCTAAAATGCACATATTACACAATTAATTCACCTGTGATAAAGTGAAATAGGGTATTAAGCAGAGATAGCATGCTGGTATCATTTATCATCAAATTAGGGAGGCAAGATTCCCTAATGTAATATTCCTGATTTTGAGCCGTGTATGGGTTCTTTTTCATGAAGGGAAAAAAAAAATGCTAGCAGAAGTACTAATGCTGACTTAAAGCATTTTGATATTAATTTACTTAAATATGTACAAACGTTACACAAGATATAAAAACGTTTATGGTTATTATATTTCTGTATGAAACCGAAACTCATTTACAAATCAAGTACAAGCAAAACCACAAAAGCAATAAAGTTTGCTAGCCTCCATAAGTGCATGAGCCAAATAAACAGCAAGTGAATATAATGCATAGATTTTGCCAGAACTAACCTGCTGCTCCACATAGGCATGGGGCCGGTCCTGATGGCTGTGACACAGACTAGTCTGCATTCAGCTTCCCGAGGCGCTTGCGCCCTGCGTCGGCCCTGCTGCCCCTGCTCACCCTGTGGCTGAATACCTGCAGAACCTCTGCGCCATCACAGCTCCCTCCGCCCTCACATATGGGCGTCAGATACACCTCTGTGCTTTTCTCCCTTGCCTGTGGCAATTAAAGCTGGACACTTTTGAACATCCTTTGTCACATAGTTGCATGGTGTTAAGTCTCAAATTAGTAAATGGTTTAGTCTTAAGGACGTGAAAAATGTCTCGTTTGTAAATTATCACTGCAAAAGAGTAGTTTTACTTTTTAGCCAACATAATCAAAATGATTACACTGGCAGATACGGGACAATTTTGGGGGAGTGTTATCATGTTAGTGTTAGGGCGTGCCAGCCTGGGTAGCTAGGCATGTTAATGAACTCACTAAATAAGTACTCTGATAATACTGTTGGATGATGGAGGCCCAAAGTAATCACAAAACAAAAGGGAGCACTAAAGTCGTATGTCAATACTTGCTTAAGGACCAGCCGGATAATTATGAATAGGCCTGTGTTTATTGTTTTTAAAAATTATCCAACTAAAAAGTTTCTGGGAAGAACTCATAGTCTCCCAAGAATATATCTAAGGACCCTCAGAGGTCTGTGCTCCCCAGTTGGAGGAACACTAATGTACTGGGGAAAACAGTGAACCTTGAAGACCTGGGGACAAGCTCCTGAAGTGTTGTGACAACTTAGGCAGGTCACTTAACCTCTCTGGGCATCAGATTCCTGATTTGTGGCCGACTTCAGGCCAGGTTCGCTGGACTTCAGAGTCCCTTCTCTTCCTTCTCAGTCAAAAGGCTTGGATTTTGAGTTTCTATAATTCTATGTTGGGCTTCTAGTTCAATCAGCAGTCCTGACCAGAATGTGTAGTGTGATGGTGGGCTCCCCAGGAGGGCCACATTATTCTTTGAAATTATACAGATTATAAAGCCCTCACTTTTTTCCATTATAGATTCTGATTCCCAGCATAGCCACGAAGTGATGCCTCTCCTCTATCCTCTCTTTGTCTACCTCCATCTCAACCTGGTCCAGAATAGTCCGAAGAGCACAGTGGAAAGTTTTTACAGCCGCTTCCATGGAATGTTTCTGCAGAACGCTAGCCAGAAGGATGTCATTGAGCAGCTACAGACCACTCAAACCATCCAGGACATCCTGTCTAACTTCAAGCTTCGAGCATTCCTAGATAACAAGTACGTGGTCCGTCTCCAGGAAGACAGCTACAACTACCTTATCCGCTACCTCCAAAGTGACAACAACACCGCCCTGTGCAAGGTCCTCACCTTGCATATCCATCTTGACGTGCAGCCTGCCAAGAGAACAGATTACCAGCTCTATGCCAGTGGCAACTCCTCTCGAAGCGAGGGCAGCGGCTTAGAGCCCACTGACATGCCCGCCCCTATTCTGCAGAACGAGGCTGCCCTGGAGGTCTTGCAGGAGAGCATTAAGCGCGTCAAGGATGGCCCTCCTTCCCTCACCACCATCTGTTTCTATGCCTTCTATAACACAGAGCAGCTGTTGAACACTGCAGAAATCTCCCCAGACAGCAAGCTGCTTGCTGCTGGGTTTGACAACTCCTGTATAAAACTGTGGAGTTTACGATCCAAGAAGTTAAAATCAGAACCCCATCAAGTAGACGTGTCCCGCATCCACTTGGCTTGTGACATTCTGGAGGAGGAGGTATGAATATCATTTTTCTTCCCTACACCTGCCTTACTAATTTGCTTAGAATTCTTACCAAACATGACAGCTCTTGTGGAGAATGGACTTCATTAATTCCTCCATCGTATAGCTAAAGCCAGACTAATACCCATGTAACCTGTAGCCACTGAATTCCTGCTCATACCTAACTTTGGAAGAGATGACAACTATGTTTAACAACATTAACTGAACATGATTAATGATTGGTCAGTATTTATTACTGTCTGAATATGGATAACATTGCTAAGCCTAATTAAAGACCTTTAGCTAATACTGAGATTTACAGTGTGTGTGTTGTGTGTGTGTGTGGTGTGTGTGTGGGTACATTTATGCAAATATAAACAATTAGAAGTAGGATCACTGGGTCAAGGGGTCTGCATTTTAAATTGTGATGAGTATTGTCACTTCCCAGCCTCATCAAACAGTAAACAAGAACGCTGGTTGCTCTTCACCCTCACCAACACTGGGTGTTACCAGCCTCTCTGAGGCCAGTGCACGTCCTCTGGCTTCATGTGCTCCAGGGTGTTCCTAAACCCCATTTTGAAAAGTGCACAGAAAGTATAATTGCTCTTTTATCCATCAATCAGTGTAGTGATTTGGCATGGTTACTGAAAAGGGCAGGCCCAGTGGCGTGAGTTTCAGGTCACTGAGAATCACTGCCTTAGAAAACATGTGCACAAAGAGAAAGAAAATTGAACTTCACAGAGTTAACTTTCCCTGCGAGTGGCCCACAAAAGCTGGAAGCTAGAATATTTTTGTCATCTCACCACTGAAATTCAGGTAGCTCTGCCTCAGGTTACTTACAATGGAAAATTCTTTGCACAGGGTTAAAAAATAAAGGAGTAAAAAAACAAACAAAAAAAAACACCAACATTCAAGTTAATTTCCATGGGTGATAAGGATACCAAGAATATTGGATGCATAAAATAAGCCCTTTCTTCCTATTCTTGTTTTCTTAGTCACCTTCCAGTTAGCATGGTCTTTGAATTTTTGTTTCTTGCGACTGAGACAATATAATTAGAGGAGTTTGTTGTGATGAGTAAAAGGTCTACATTCCAATGTACACACTTTGATTTCTAGGATTTTATAGTACCCTCCAAAATTTTTTTATTGCACATGTATTTGAGTTTTAAAATTTTCCTAGGAGATAATTATAGCCTGTTGAGCATTCTTCACATACAACTGAAGGACACTGCCATCATTGATTTACAACTTTCTGTAAATACAAGGAAAAATATTTTTCCACTGACCTTATTAGCTTGATGACATTGTGTTTGGAGAGTATTCTCAGCATTACAAATTAATATAAAGGAAGATAGCAAAGATAGAAAGGTAGATACAAAGAAGGAAAGAACATTAGACTAAAAAAAATGTTTAAGATTCTACCCTTCTACCCTGGCTACCACTGAAAATTAGCTCTGTAACTTATTCTGTGAAGATTTCCAGGCTTTGGGAGGTATGCATTTGAAGACCCAGAAGTGAAGAATAACATGATGAATTCCAGGAAGTGAAAGAAATTCAATCTGGCTAGCACTGAGAGGGCTAAGACCCATAGCTGTACGGCACCACAGGGTATGCTAGGGTTATGGTGGCCTGAGCTAGGGGAGCGGCCCCAGGAAGGGAGCTCGGGGACTGGTGAGACGAGAGCTCCAGTGGGAGGTGCTGTTCCACTCCAAAAGAAGATACTTTGTTTAAGTATCTTCCTGGTGTATTCGCCATTATCCACAAAGTACTGTAGATTCTGCTACAGTATAAAGGTACTGCTTTCCTTGTGAACAAACTTTTGTTTCATTTTAGAACTAAAGTTGAGATCTTCTTACCATGTTGTCAAGGGGTTTCCTGTTTGGGATTTCTACATCCCCCACCCATTTTGTTACAGCAGTTTACAAAAGTTTTTGTTGTTAATGGGGGTTTTTTGGGGGAGGGGGGTTTGGTTTTGGGTTTTTTGGGGTGTTTGGGGGTTTGTTTTTTTTTGTTCGTTTGTTTTTTGCTTTTTGTTTTTTGTTGTTCCTGACAAGGAACATTTTGGGGAAAAGCAAAATATAACTCAGTTCTGGTAGTTAGTTTTTAATATTTCTTCAATGAGAACTTGGACTTTTTTTTTTTCCTTATAGAATTCACAATTAAAATAGAAACTCTTAATGCAGAGGTCACAAATTCACATGCCTGTAGAAGCCAAGCAGGTAAATGTAAACGGTTTACTGCTACCTGGATCAAAGAGATGGTAGGAAGTACAAAAGTACATGAAAACCCAATTAAAAAGCCAGTTTGCAGCCTCTGCCTTAATCTTTGTGAAGCAACAGCTGTTGCATAAATTAGTGAATAAAATGTTTTAATAGTGGGTATTTAAAATATTGACCAGACCCACCAGTTCCATTTCTAGGTATATATCCCAGAGAATTCAAAACATATGTCCCCACCAAAACTTGTACATGAATGTTCAGAACATCATTATTCATAATTGCCAAAAAGTGGGGACAGCCCAAATGTCAGTCAGCTGATTAATAAACAAAATGTGGTATATCCGTGTAATAGAATATTATTATGCCATAGAACGGAATGAAGCAACATGAGACATGCTATGTTGTAGATGAACCTTGTAAACATTATGCTAACTAAATAAAAGAAGCCAGTCACAAAGGACCACATGCTATATGATTCCGTTTCTAGGAAATATCCAGAATAGGCATATCCATAGAAACAGAAAGTAGATTGATGGCAGCTAGGGACTGGGGACAGGGAAATAGGCAGTGACTGCTAATGGGTAAAAGGTTCTTTTTTGAGGTGATGAAAATGTTCTGTAGTAGATAATGGTGATATTGCACAACTCTGTGGGTATACTAAAAGCCACTGAATTATACTTTTTAAAAGAATGAATTTTATAGTATGTGAATTATATCTGTTTAAAAAAGTCAAAAACAGGGGCGCCTGGGCGGCTCAGTCGTTAAGCGTCTGCCTTTGGCTCAGGTCATGGCCCCAGGGTCCTGGGATCGAGCCCCGCATCGGGCTCTCTGCTCGGCAGGAAGCCTGCTTCTCCCTCTCCCACTCCCCCTGCTTGTGTTCCCTCTCTCGCTGTGTCTATCTCTGTCAAATAAATAAATAAAAATTAAATAAATAAATAAAATAAAAAAGTCAAAAACAGTAATCAAAAGCTTCTATGAGGGCATAAAATTTTCTCTATTTATTAAGCCAAATAAAACTGGATTTACAGCACTGCCCTGTAGCTTCTGAGATCTGCAGCTTAAAGCTGTTCTACACTTGATCTTAGCCAAAAGTTCGAGAAGCGATTCTGGATTAACCTTTGGAAAGCTATTAATTGGCATAGCAGTGTCCCTCTTCCCACCAGGACCCGTAGCCTCTATCCTGTCTGAGACCCTCCATCCTCTGTTCCACACTAAATGGACTTGGAAATGAGGTCCAACTTTTACCCTTGTTGATTGGTAACTGTGTACTTCTAATATTTGAGCAACATGGCAAAACCACAGATACCAAATCAAGGATTTGCTCTTCGTTTCAGGTATGTGTACACGATCACCCTCGTCACTGCCAGCCTCCCGCCCTCCTAGCCCAGCACTACAGTACTCGGTTCATGTACTGGCTAGTGAGCCTGCCTTCCCCCAATCCAGCAGTCTCTAAGTTCCAAAAGTAAAGAAGTCAGTGTTGTATAATATTCAGTTCTGTGATTTGTGTATAAAACGGTTGTGGAGGTCTGTGCTGGCCTAGAAGAATATAATGTGAGCCATGTTTGTAACTTTGATTTTTCTATTAGCCACATTAAAAAAGTAAAAAGAAGTAGTCAATTGATTTAAATAATGTATTTTATTCAATCCAATAATGGCCAAAATATTATCATTTCAACATGTAAGCAATATTAAAAGATTATTAATGAAATCTGTTACATTCTCCTTTTTTTCCTAAGTCTTGGAAATCTGGTGTGTTTTACACTTACAGCACATGTTCAGCTCAACTCGCTAATAGCCACCTTTTCTATTCTAGTTCAGGCCATTGTCATCTCTCCTGGAGAGAGCAGCCCCCCTCTTGCTTCCAAGTCTTAACCTACTCCCAAGCCCAGCCAGATTTAACTTCTTTCAGTTCCATTGGCAGCTGATGTTAGGAGAAGAGCCCAAGGCTAAATTTCAGACCCCAGAAGGTACCCTCGAGTTAGGAAAGACTGGAGTGTGAGCCGAGGCACTCTGAACCTCCTACTCCAGGAACAGACATCCATAACAAGTCTGAGATTTTTAGGGCCTTCATGGTCTAAAGCAGGGCTTAGCAAACTATGGCACAGGGGTACATAAGATAATGTTTGAAGGTCTTTTTATACTTACTCTTCCTATTATTTTTAAATTTCTTACTTTATGCATGTTTTATAATGTACATAGTATGATTTATTATTACACGAATATACTTAACAAATCAAAAATTCCTATTTGGGATGCATGCCCACTTACTGTAGGGTGTTCAGTCAATTGTAGGGAGTTTGGGGTTTTGTCCTGTGAGCATGAAAGGAAGGAAAGGGAGAATCTGGGGTTGGGCATGTGTGAATCAGCTGCTTGTTCAGAGTTTTAGTTCGACTGTGCTGAGGCCCTTGTGGGACTGGGTTGAGCCACGGAAGAAAATATGGCTGAGTTATTTTAAGCTGTGGTCCTGGCAAAGAGCTGATAGCGATAGCCAGCAGGAATGCTCTGGTTTCCCCATCTCTTGGTCTATAGAGTCAACCAGGCGCTTTTCCCCCCTGCTCAGGACAATCACCAAGACCCCTGGGAAGTGCCAGCTTGACTCCTGGCGCACCCTCCTCTTCCCATCTCTGAGCGTGCTGTTTAGGTCCCCACTAAGGAGCTGAAGACCTGCTTCCCTAACTTCCTGCTCCAAATGAAGACCACTTAAGCCTCAGAGATGGTAACGTGCCCTTTAATCCATCACTCACTTTCAAAGGGTAATTCATCTGGGGTCGTTTTTTGCTCCCACAGTTTTTATATAAACTTTCTGGTGTACAGCAATGAGTCATCCTTGAAATTTTAAAGTGTTGTCATAACCTCTTTTGAAAGGAAAATTACTAATATTCTTGGTAACACTCGGTAGAACGTTAAGCTCCCAAATGCTTATGTATTTTTAACGTCGAGTGTCTGGAATAGCCATTTTGAATATTCATGGACATCAGTGTTTATTTTCTCTTAACTTTTTCTGAAATCTGTACACATTGAAGGCGTTTGTTTTATTTTGAATTTAATAGTTTTCAAAAGGAAGTTAAAAAGATGCCATTTTCCTGTACAAGAACTTAAGGCCCACAGACATATTTATATCTAAGCTAACAAAGCCGATTGGTTTAGAATTCTTGTTACTCCTCATTCTTCTGGTGTTTAATTAAAACCCATTTTAATCTATGAATTCTTGAATAGAGACCGCTGTAGTGTTAAAAAGCTTGTCTGTGAGGGAATGAAGGGAAAATGGATTTTGAACAGAGATACTGTCCTTGTGGGAAAGAGGGTGGGAAGGGGACTTTCCCCCTCGGTACCCTGAGTGGCTGTCTTCTTTTCTGTCCCCACACACAGGAATTTAGTTCCAAGAATCCCATGAGTCACTTGGCTTTGTTTAAAGCCATTCTGAACCCATGCCTCGCTTGGGAAAATGTTTGAGACCCTCTAGAAAGTCAGAGTTTTAAAACTTCATCTTTTTTCTTTTTGGACACTGGCAGTTTATGCCTGGTCACAAGGTGTGAGTGTCATTTATTGATAACTGCACCTTTCTGGTTTACTATTTGTTCTGATATGTCCAGGCTTTATTTTGGCTAACCTCCTGCAGGGGTTTTGTATTAGTTTTGAAGTGAGACCATGTCTGCCTTCATCATTGACCCCACTCATGAGAGTAATGAACGTGCCAGGAATTTTCTTAGTGGAGTAGAAACAGGGAGCAATGTGGCTTATGAAGCAGCTAAAACCAACAGATGAAGACAGGCCCACAGAATAAAAGAATCTGAGAACTTAATGTAAATTCAGAAGTAAATCTTTCCAAATGATGTCTATCAGGATGAACAATGGAAGTCAGCGTGGGCGATCTTTTAAGCAGCCTTTGAAATCTGTTATGCTCAGCCTAACAGTAAGGTCTACAGTCGTTACTGTGTAATAATAGCCTCACATTTGTGTACTCTTAATTTGACAGTCGTAGCTGGAAGATGAATTTGAGGAAGACAGTTTGTAAGTTGCAGGAGACTTTTTATTCAGTTGTGCAATTATGAGTTGTTTTCCTGGGGTTGACCTTCAGGGCAAAGACCGCTGTCGTTTACTGGGCAGATGCTATTTCCCAAGTAGTGGCTTTTTTTTTTTCTTCTTTTTCTTTTTCTTTTTCTTTTTGCTGGACTGTTTGGTTGTCATGGCAGACCACTAAACATTTTTCCCTTGTGTGTCTCTCTGCCACCCGCCCTTCCCCCTACTGTCCCCAGGATGATGAGGATGACAATGCGGGCACAGAGATGAAGATACTACGGGGACACTGTGGACCAGTGTACAGCACAAGGTTCCTCGCAGACAGCTCAGGGTTGCTCTCTTGTTCTGAAGACATGTCCATTAGGTACTGGGACCTCGGGAGTTTCACCAACACTGTGTTGTACCAAGGACATGCCTACCCTGTGTGGGACCTGGACATTAGCCCGTATAGCCTGTACTTTGCCAGTGGGTCCCACGACCGCACCGCGAGGCTGTGGTCATTTGATCGGACGTACCCACTGAGAATATATGCCGGCCACCTGGCAGATGTGGACTGTGTCAAATTCCACCCTAATTCAAACTACTTAGCCACAGGCTCGACCGACAAGACTGTCCGGCTGTGGAGTGCTCAACAGGGCAACTCGGTGAGGCTCTTCACGGGCCACCGTGGCCCCGTGCTCTCTCTTGCCTTTTCTCCCAACGGTAAGTACTTGGCGTCAGCTGGCGAGGACCAGCGGCTAAAGCTATGGGACTTGGCCTCCGGGACCCTTTATAAAGAACTGAGAGGCCACACGGACAATATCACCAGCCTCACCTTCAGTCCGGACAGCAGTTTGATCGCGTCTGCGTCCATGGACAACTCCGTGCGCGTCTGGGACATCAGGAACACTTACTGCAGTGCGCCTGCCGACGGTTCCTCTGGGGAACTCGTGGGTGTGTACACTGGGCAGATGAGCAATGTACTCAGTGTGCAGTTCATGGCCTGCAACCTTCTTCTAGTGACTGGAATCACACAAGAAAATCAGGAACATTAATTTTTGTTTTTTAATCTTTGTGGTAACGGACTGGGGCTGTAGTGGAAAGCCTCCAGGTTGCAAGTCGTAGGACAAATTGAGATTGAATCACTGACTGTGAAAGACTCCCCGCTTCTCCCCCTTCTCCCGTACAGACATCCTGAGCTCGTCTCCCCTGCACTCGGTCCCCCACGTGTCGAAGGACTGGAGGGGGAAGGTGCTGTGATTGGACATGAGATGGAGCATGAAGAGGCTCGGGGGGTCGGATTGCAAGCTCTTACGGAGATCCCGCCCGTGTCCTCGCGTGAGCACCTTCGTGTCTCTGTCTCATTTTCCCGTGTGTCGACCCGAGATGCTGCTTACCTCGCCGCCGGGTGCTGCCTTTGGTCCGAGGATGGTTGCAGGGCACCCTCGCGAGGAGTGGTGCCACGGGATCCCCGCTGCTCAGTCGGCGGGTGCAAGGGGGCTTTCCTGGCCTAGGAATGCGGGGGTGGGAACTAGGAACGGGGGCGGGCATCATCCTGGCGAAAAGTCTCTCCTTTTCCGTAATTACAGAGAACCAGGATTTTTTATTATTATAATTATAATTATTATTATTACTGAGAAGAGGAAGCCTAGCACTGGCAGAGGGGCCTTCTCTGCTCTCGTCTTTCAGGTTTTACTCCTGGCACTGGCTGTGATACTTGGAATCTTGAGGTTCAGGGAATTCAGAGAATTTGGTAGCGCAGTGTTTTGGGAGAAAGGGAAACTTTCTGGGTGACGATGGGTCACTCCGGCTGACATGTGTCTAGAAGTGGGTGGGTGGGTGGGTTTGAGAAAGTTCTGGGCTCTGGCAGTGACGGTGGGAGTGGAAGAGTCTCCTCATGGCTGCACTTGTATGAACAGTTCTCTCCCCGGGAAGGACAGATGGTGGTAAAGAAATGAGAAGAATTTGCAGTGATAGGGCAAAAGATAGAATTAGAAGATGTGAAATTTCCAAATGCCCATTTATCCGGAGGTGTGGCTCGCTCAGTGTCTTTTCCTCCTGCCATCATTCGCTCCCACCTCCTGCATTGCAATAGCAGTTTAACGAACACTTTGTGAAACAAATCGTAAGTACCCACGCACGCATCTAAAACTGTGCTTTGAGGATAAAGCAAGTTCGAATTCGTGGAAAAAGGATTAAATATTTCTGTTTTCTGAAAAGAGTTATTTTGTATTTTGTTTTCTATTAAAATGTATTTAGTTTCAAAAAAAAAAAAAAGTGTTGTCATGTCATTTAAACTGTGAGGGCAGGCGGGTGTGTGGCCCGGCCTGGGGTGACGTGTGCAGCCCACCTCTCTTCAGGATGATAGCCACTCATGTAGGCCAGACTAGCCCCAACACAGGTACACTCCCACCCGTTCCTGTATTCTGTTCAGCTAACTTTGAATCGTGCTTCCTCTTGGCATTCGCAGGAATTATTGGTAACATTTAATACTGTTTATACATCCAAGGTTACCAGTTGCTAACAGGAGACAATGTATATTTTACCATCTAGAGTAATTTGGGAAGATCCCACTTCCAGTTTTCTTTAATGACCCCATTATAAAATTTCTAAGGGGCATAAGAACTGTGCTATTTAATTAACTTAAACTGTTTCTCGAGCAATTCCAGATAAAGGACTCGTTCAGAAATTTAAATGATGCCAAAATACAAGAACACCAAGAATTATCAGGAAATTAAAGGAAGACTCTAGAATTCTATGTGAAAATTTTTTTTTACTTGAGCCCAAGATTCTAATTAATAAGTGTTTCTTATTCATAAAAACCTATGTATTTGAAACATTGTAAGAAGGATCTATTAGTGCCTCAGCCACTTCCACATAGTGTGCCGTGAAGGTCAGATAGAATTCAAGTATGTTCTTACCTGTAGTAAGTGAACTCTTAAATTCTATGGTATATTGCTAGAAACAATAAAATCCCTAAATTGGGCTGAATCATTCTCAGGAGTGAAAATACCACTGACTAGGGATGATTTGGAAAGACTTTGTTTTTTAATACAAAATTTTTTTGATTAAACACAAAACTGTATTGGGTTGGTCAGTCTTCAAATTATCAATCATGTATATACTTTTGTAATTTGAATTCAAGCTCTTAATGATCTTCATGTTTGGCCTCTTTCTTTGAACTGACTTTAATGTGGGATAATTTAACTTTATAGAATACCCCTCACAACTTCCCCAGAATCTTAGAAATATCGTAAGGGGTATGTATATATGTTTATGGCCACAAGGGTGCATAAGAACATAGTTAGACTCTTCAGGTTGCTCTTCTGTGTTGTTTTATTTTCTCTTCAGAGCTAGAGATGGACAGGACTGGTGATACTACCATTTAGTAGATGAAAATCTAAAGCCCAGAGAAGCTCTGTTATCTATGTCCAACATGGAATGGTTACATGTCTTGGATGTGTTACAAGGAGGATCTATATTCAGTATCCTCAAGTTCTAGCTGGAGGATATAGCCCTGATAATAGAAAAATGTTTTTTGTTTTTTGTTCGTTTTTTTAAAAAAAACCTCCAAAAAGGAAATATGAATGTTTAACAAACATATATATAGTGCTTACCATCTACTAGAAATCATTCCATGAGCTTTATGAAAATTAACTTTTTCTTTTATCTCCATAATAACCCTGTGAGATAAATGCCACTTTTATCTGTATTTTACAAATGAGGATTCTGAGGCCCTGTTGGATTAACTCACTTTGCCAGAGGGTCACACAGCTAGTATCCAATGAAGCCAGAATTTGCACCTGGGAAGTCTGGCTCCAGAGTTCTTCCACAGGCTCGTGTGTCCCTTCATTCCCGCAGTACCAGGTAAAGAGTGACCTGAGGTTACTAGTAACTAAATGTTCCTGGCAATAGTTATAAGACTCATGCTTCCCTTTGCCAAATAAGTCAGCAAAATCTAGCGGGATCAGGAACTGGTGGTAAGAACAAACTTAAACAATATGTGGCTAAAAGAAACTTGAAAATACTCGATTTTGAACCACAATGATAAATCTCTGCAATGTGTATAAGGTGCAGAAAAAAAAAAAAAAAGCTGAAATTTCTTAGGCTGATAGGCTCAGAAAACTCTGACTGTAATTTCAATTCAGCAGTACACTGGCCAAAAGAAAGAGAACGTTGAGATAAAGTAAAGTAAGAAATTAGATGAAACGGGAAACAATTTGAAGTTTTTATATTCAAGATCCAGCTTCTAAGGATAGCTGTGATTACTAGCTTTTCATTTGTTTTATTCATATATTAAAAATGTCTTGGTTGTATAAAAAAAAAATCCATTGAATATGTAGGCTTCTAATTTTGCTATTGCCCAGATTGGTATTTAAATATATGGATTAAAAGATTAGTCTGTACTTCAACTTGTCTTTCAGTTGCATGTTTTAGAAAAGTGTCCATTATATCTATGCCCCGCCCACAACAAGGATTCATATTATTGACCCCTACATAGCAACCAAATGAGTCTGAAACTGCCTTATGATAAACAGAAAATCTTCATTATAGAATTTGAGGAATGCAAATGTTCCTTGCCAGTTTGACCCATTAAAGGACAACTTAGATACTTTCCCATGATTCTGAAATTCCTAAAAGAAATATTTTTTTTTTAAAGATTTTATTTATTTGGCAGAGAGACACAGCGAGAGAGGGAACACAAGCAGGGGGAGTGGGAGAGGGAGAAGCAGCTTCCTGTGGAGCAGGGAGCCCGATGCAGGGCTCGATCCCAGGACCCTGGGATCATGACCTGAGCCGAAGGCAGACGCTTAACGACTGAGCCACCCAGGTGCCCCTAAAGAAATATTTTTATATTAAATATGTGGGTATCTATTATAATCAGATATTGTGTTAGTGGGCAGAAATGCAACAGTAAGCAAAACTGATACATGCCCTGGCTTGAGTTTATAGTTCAAAGAAGGAGGCAGGTATTGATCAACTAATACCATAAATAAATATGTAATTCCAAACAGTAGAGAGTGTGTACTAGGTGCAATGAAAGAATATGCCCAGGGATCTAATTTAGATTAAGCATTCAAGGAAGGCCTCCCTGAAGAAGTAATAATGAAGCTGGGATCTGGAGGGTAAGCAGAAGTTAGCCAGGCAGAGTTGAGGAAAGAATGGTCCAGACCCCCGACTGGGAAAGAAGCTGGTACACTCAAAGTTCACTGGGGCTGAGGCAATGTGAGTAAGGAACAGAACAGCACAACATGAGTTTGGATAATTGGCAGGGCTTTGGGCACTATCAGGAGTTTGGCTTTTATCCCAGGTGGGATGGAAGCCACTGAAGGGTGTACAGCAGGGAAGTGATCAAGTCCAAGCTCCACCTTAATATCACTGGCAGCAAGAGGACGTGGACACATTTGCAGTGGACTTACACTTCAGCATCACGATAACAAGGCAACATTTACTGAACCCATCTGTGCCAAGCACTGCAGGGCACAGCCAATTGATGGAAGCCAGCTACCATGTAATGGGCTGCCCTACATGGAGTGGCCCCTCAGGCAATGAACTGAAAGCAGCTTCTAACCAACAACCTGTGAGGACCTGAGTCCTGCCAACCACCACATGAGTGAGCTTGGATGCAGATCCTGTCTCAGCTGAGCCTTCAAATAAGACTGCAGCCTCCTGGTCAACCTTGAGACAGAGGTATCCAGCTTAAAAGTCTGCCCGGATTCCCAACTGAGAGAAACTGTGAGATATCCAATATTGTTTTAAACCACGAGGTTTGGGGTAATTTCTTGTGTGGAGTAGATAACTAGCCCATCAGTCCTACTCCATAGTCCATTCTTTTAACTGCTATGCTATAGAAAATGAAATAATTACTGATTAAAACAAAATCACTGGCAGCTGTAAGGAATATGGACTGAGGGTATCAGAGTGAGCAGGGAGGACAGTAAGATCATTGCAGTTGTCCAGGAGAGAGATGAGGATGGTGTGGACTAGAGGGGCCACAGTGGAAATGGAGAAAAGTGGACAAATCCAATGAATATTTTAGAGGTGGGTTGGCTATACTTTATTGGGTTGTATGGGGGAGAAAAGGCAGGAATCATGGATGACCCACATGTTTCTGGCATGAGCAGTTCAGTGGGTAGGGTTGCAATTTATTGTGATGAAAATCCTGGAGGAAGTGGAGGTTTGGGGGCAAAGATCAAGAGTTCAGTTTTAGGCCTCTGAAGTTTGAGGTACATGCAAGAGAACCAAGTGACAATACCAGATAGGCATTTAAAAAAGTTTTTTTTTTAAGATTTTATTTATTTGACAGTGAGAGAGCACGAGCAGGGGGAGCAGTAGAGGCAGAGGGAGAAGCAGACTCCCCACCGAGCAGGGAGCCCCATGCGAGACTCGATCCCAGGATCCTGGGATCATGACCTGAGCCGAAGGCAGATGCCTAACCATCTGAGCCACCCAGGTGCCCCCCAGATAGGCATTTTAGATAGACACACCTGGAGCTCAGAGCAGAGCTCTGCCTTACATGCTAGTTTGGGACTTAGATTCATTAGAGTGCTTTCTGCCACTAGGGACAGAAATCTGACTCCAGGTGGTTTAAAAATAAGGAATTTTATTGGTTCACTTACCAGGAAGTGTAGAGGTCAGGTGGGTTTCAGGGCCCCCCCACCTGTGTTCTGTAACTTCGCTGTGTTCTCTTCTGCATTTGGCTTGAGCACGGCCTGACTTTTCCCATTGGGAGAGGGCTACCAACAGCAATGAAGGCCAGACTCGCCCCTCATTCATATCTAGTGGGGATGTGAGCTTACTGTCCATTCCTCGCTCTTAAGAGCAAGGGAAAAAAAAGTCTAGAAGTTCCAGCAAACCTCTCCAGTTTGCATTAGATCTGCTAAGCATTGAACCTATCCCTGACAAAAGACAAGAGTCATTAGCATGTAGTTGGAATCTGAAGACTTCCAAATAGATGTGATTACCAAGGATAAGAGCATAGAGTAAAAAGAGATGAGGGTTCACAACTTTTCTCTAGCATGTACAGGTCAGAAAGGAGGAGCCGCCAACAAAGGAAGAAAAACAGCAGAGGGCACTGTCCCAGGAGCCAAGAGAAGAAAGTACTTCAAAACAGGAGTGGTAGGGGGAAGGCTTCGGCTGGCTGAGTTCGTGGAGCATGCGACTCTTGATCTCAGGGTTGTAAGTTGGGGCCCCGTGTTGGGTATAGAGATTACTGAAAAATGAAAACTTCAAAAAAATAATAATAATAAGAGTGGTCAACTGTCCTGATGCTACTGAGAATTCAAATAAGGATTGGAGAATATCTTTCAGACTTGGTGGGCAGGTGGCTGAGAATCTGAGCCCTAGCAGTTATGGTTGAGTAACAGAAATGGAAAGGACATTGAAATGGATTGAAAAGTGGAAAGGTAATAGGAACACAAATACAGACACTTCGTTTGTGACAGGTGACGCATACAGCGATGGAGGAAGATAGCCCTTACAGGGCTAAGACAATTGGCAATCTATAGGGGAAAAATTAAATTGGACCCTTTCCTCTCTTAACACAAAACCAGTTCCAGATGCATTGAAAAACATCCTCATGACCTTGGGATAGGAAGAAATTTCTAAAGAAACAAAAAGCTCTAACCAAAAAGGACAAGATTGATTAAATTCAAAACATTCATTCATCAAAAGAACCACGGAAGAACTAATGAACAGGCCATGAATGTGGGGAGATACTTTTAACACATGAGCAACAGAAACAAGTGTCTAGAGCAACATCGTGCAGTGGAATCAGCTGTGCAGTGGAATCGGCTGTGCAGTGGAATGTTCTCTAGTTCTGTCCTGTCTTATAGAATGTCGTGTGAGGACAGAAATGTTCTGTAGTCTCTCCTGCCCTGTAGAAAGTGCTGTGAGGGGGGAACGTTCTGTAGTTCTCCGCTGTCCCATAAAGTAGCTACTAGCTCCATGTAGCCATTGAGCATCTGAAATATGGATAATGTAACTGAGGAACTGAATTTTTAATTTATACTCAAATTACCACATGAGACTAGTGGCTAACGTATCAGACTGGAGAATTCTAAAATATATGAAGAACTACAAATCAGTGAGGGAAAAAAGCATATAGTCAATGGGAGGGAAAGGCAAAAGTCTTAAAAGGAAGCACTTCTTCAGAAAAGAAATCCAAATGGCCAATAAATTAGAAATTACTCAACCTTGTATTACTCAGGGAAATGCAAATTTAAGACAATGAGATACTGTTAAACACCCTTCAGACTACTAAGAACATTGTAAAAGCCTGACAATGTCAAGTGTTGGTGCGTCTGGACCCTCCTACCCTGGTGAGACTGTAAATTTGTAACCTATCTGAGAAGGGTGTGGAATTATGTAGCTAAATTGAAGAAGTTGAACTCTGTTATTCCCAGCAATCCATATCCACCAGGATACATATATGAAAATGTCCATGGCAACATTGTCTATCATTCCCCAAAGCTGGAAACAAACTAAATGCCCATGAAAAGAAAGTATAAATACATGACTGAATAGTCATACAAACTTGACCCTAAGAAAACATTAGAGCTACAAGCCACAACATGGATGGACCTTACAGTGTTGACTGAAGAGAAAGACAAATTATTCCCACAGAATGATTCCATTTACATAGAGCTCAAATCAGACAAAACCGACTGTATAGATTTTAGTATGTGTACAGCAATGACAGAACTGTAGAGGGGAAGAGTCCCGATCAGGAAGGGACACTAGAGTGCCAGGGATGTTCCATTTCTTGACTTAGGTGGTGGTCACCCCAGTGTGCACTCGAGAACTGTTCATTATGTGGTACAAAGAAGTTTTTTTCATTATATTTAAAACGTTTCATGGGGCACCTGGGTGGGTCAGCCAGTTGAGCAGGTCATGATGCCAGGGTCCTGGGATCGAGCCCCACCTCGGGCTCCCTGCTCAGCAGAAGCCTGCTTCTCCCTCTCTTCCCCGCTTGTGATCTCTCTCACTATCTCTGTCACTACTTCTCCCAAATAAATAAAATAAATAAATAAAATCTTTTAAAAAAATAAAACGTTTCTGAAAGAATAAAAAGTTGCTGGGAAAGCAGAGAGCAAAGCAAGGGGTGTGGGCAGCTCTTGAGACACTTAAAGAGGGGCAGAGATTCAGACATATGGAAGCAAGAAAGAATCATTTGATTTGCCTGTTGTTTGGTTAAAGCAGGGGCTTTCAAATGTTTAGACCTCAACCCACAAGAAAAATGTATTTTACATTGTGACCTAGTATGCACATATAGTGGATTTTATTAAGCTAAGATTCCATCGACTAGAAGAGGTACATTCCTCTATGTACCATTTATTTTTGCTGTCATCAAATGTTGAACAATGCTTTCTTGTCACTTAGAAGTTTTATGTTTATTTAGAACTTTAAATTT